AAAAAAACCCCTCAATGCTTGGAAAATGGGCAAAAGGCAAAAGACTTGAACAGGCACAAGACCAAAAAAGTATGAATACACATATGAAAAGACATCAACTGTTTTAATAATCAGGGAAATTCAAACTAAAATGCCAATATGAGATCTCCACTAGTAAATCTCACTGAAACTACAGTAAAGCAACTTTTAAAAACTGAGAAACCTGTCACAGCAAAGAAAATGGGAGAAGAGAGAATCACCACCACATTTTAGAAGCTGGAAGAAACACCAGACCAGCAGTAACTGAATGAACTGACATGAAAAAGACAACTCTTAAGCAAACAGTGGGAGAGACTAAGGAGGAACCTAACTGGCACAAAAGAATCCTCAAATAGCTCAGGCTCTGTTGCACCAGATAGGTCTGGAGGTGGGTTAAGAAGGGGGTAAACGGAAATTAGGAGGACTGGTTGAAAAATTGTTTGAAAAATGATTGGATCCCTTCCTTTCCTTTCTCAGTCCACCAAAGATTATTTATCTGCAGAGAATAAAACAGAGGGACTAGGGAACACCAAACACATTGGAGGGCAAGGGCACCCTACCAAACACAGGAGAATGAGATAAACACAGACACCCACTCCCACCAACTCTTCTTCCACACTGGGCTCCCAGTGCTGGCCACCAGCCCTTTACTCCCACCTGCACTACCCTCGACAAGAGGTTGGGAGCATCTTCTCTGCAGAATCTGACCAGCTTTAGATCTAAAGATACTGACATGGGGCACAGGGTGCACCAACAACCAGCACACCCACATTGCCCTGCAGATAAACTCGGTACAGCATCTTGCTGCACCCAGAGATTCCAATTCATTTCTTAGACCTTCACTCCTACACTTGAGGTAAGCCTCTATCTAACACACAAAACAGATACTCAAGCAGACACAAAAAAGCTAAAAGAGGTAAAAGTGGTTACACCTTGGGGAACAAGAAATGTTGTGGGAAGGCAGGGTAATGCTGGGCTTTCCCCAACAACAAACCTTACACAGCCAGTTATTGATAAATATAAAAACATGCATTTCGGCCGGCCCGGTGGCGCACTGCTACAGTGCACCGCTTGGGAGCGCGGTGGCACTCCCGCC